CATTCGATAGACGTTTGAATCCTGATAACTAGACTGCGGATCTTGATGCATTTATAGGAAATTTGAATGTGCAAGAACCTAGAAAATGCAAACAATATGCAGGAATATAAAAAAGATCGAAAGTAAAGTTCATGTTATAATATTTGCAGGTAAAAAAAAAAATTCCTATTTAGGTTGAATTTTTGTAGGAACGTTTGCAAAGATTTTATTTTGCATAAAGATCCGCAGTCTACTGATAACCTACAATTTCGTCCCGCAATTAAAACTCTGCCTTTCATTCGTTCATCGAACAGACAGTCGCGCAGCTGATAGAACGCGTCTATCGTTTCGATAATTATTCGAAATTAGGATCCATAGATCTTACCTGCCAGCCGATTGGACGATCGAAGCCGGACGGTCCTCATTAACCGGTTCGATTCGTGTCCCCGACAAGAACGACCGGGACACGGTCCTTGCCCGAAAATCGTTTCCCTTTGTGAATGCAGCTTAACGGTGGTAGGCAGGCCAGTCAGCCAGTAGAAATATGCACACATTCAGGTTCCAGCGTTGGTGAAGGACCAACCACACTGACGTCCCATGGCGAGGATTTCTATGCACACTTTCGTCGACACACGCGACCGTCCGGCCTCTCTCTCTTCTTGGAAACAGATGACAGAGCGACTCGGTCACCGTAAACCACCAGACGTCCCACGGGAGCCCAGGCACCTTCGCGTCGCGAACTTATTCGACGCAACGCGACCACTTGATCGTCGCATGTATACGCGCCACCGACTTCTTCCTCCTTTCCTCGTTAATCAGCTCTCTGTTCGCGGGAATTTACGTTATTCGCGTTTTCGCGAGCAAGCACGAGGCGGACACGCAGGTCTCGCCGAGCGACACCCGCGTGTATTAACTCCGAGATCAGGGCCGAATTAAGGTATGGACTTAGGGGGGGCTACAACCTTGGGATCTCCAAGGATCGAGCGAAAAGTTAGGAACGCTCTACGAGTGGTCTAAATTATCAACTTGAAAGAAGGTTAATACGCTTGTATATTCATACTGGACACGCTATGCGAAACACTGTACCGTACATATACCTGCATCCCGAAGGTAAATTATCTCAAATCCAAACTGTGGAATTTTGAAACAAACGAGATGTTCCGCACGAGATACGAAACGTTCAACGTTTAGACTCGGCACGGTTTGCCTCTGATACGTAGATGAATGTATATACTCACGGGTACCTGTAGCCCATGGGTTTAAGAAATCTTAATATCGGCGCTGACTCGGAGAAAGGGAACGCAATGCACGGGTCCGCGACGCAGGCACGCGCGATGATAATCGAGGAAGGGATGCGGCCACTAGCGTTCGAATCGCACCACTAGCTTTGTACCGTCTTTTAATAACGTCGAACGTACGCGACACCACGGGCACACCATGCTCCAACCGACCGTCGACTTGTTTTTCTTCCTTTATTCTACGATTTCGGAGGGTCGAGAAAGGCTGCCGTCCTCCGACGCTTACATCGTGTCTTTTCGTCCGTTTTGTACCAAACCGTGCGACCGCGAGGAGGGAGCGCGCGCTTCAGAGAAGCACAGTGCACGCCGTGCACGATCGTGGTACGTACAGCCCTCCGGGGACCGTGGAAATCACCCCCACCGTCGACAGAACCGGCATCGTACTGAAAACCGGCTAGGTACGTGCGCTCCCCTCGAGCACCGAACCGCGACTGCCGTCCCAGCCGCGCCATCTCTCCCCACTCCGACCAACCGTGACGTCAGAATCTGTCGATACGAGCGAACGCGACTTTCGGCGGGAAAGCGAGCGCGATTCAAAACTCGTCTTCTAAATGTTCATTAATGTTCGTTTGTGAGCTACTGGGGTCGATCTAAAAACTATTGCGGCTTTTAAAACTTCGACTTACTCAGTGAAAGCTGGAAGAAAACGGTTTTCAGGTAAATCGAAGGATTTTCGTTCGTGTTAAAGAACTGCGAGAAACTTGTATGGTAACAAAAATTAGTAGAAGATTGTCTTGGATAAAAACGCAATTGCTCGAAGGCGAATGACAAATTGAAAAGTTTATTAGAAGAGTAATATACTGTAAAATGTACCGAATTAATGAATATTATGTTAAAAGGAAATGTAACCGTAGGCGAAGTAGATTTTACTGCTGGAGTTCCAGTCTAGATCACGAAATGCTTCGTGATCTTCGTAATATAAAAGTACGCGCGAGTTAGAATCGCGTTACTCGAGTATGCTCGGAGCGTACCTATCCAGGTAGACAGTGAATGAAAGTTTTAAATATGAATACCGTTACTTGCCTGGCGCCTGTGAATATCGCCGTTATCAAATACTGTACGTATGCCTTCATTTCTTTTCAATTGTTATCGTCATCCTAATTATTACTATGTAATTCTCATTACATAGAAATATGAGCATAAGCGAATTTAGTCTCTATATTATATTTAACTCAGGTTCAAAGTATAATCAAATATAATTTATATAATTATATCGTTATTTAGGTTTATTCAATTTGAAAAAAAAACGAGTACGAAACTTATAATATCTATTCCTTATTCAAACGCGCGCCATTTTCGTGTTTCGTACTATGATTTCGAATAAATGTAAAACTTTCTTTTTTAATGAATATTTTGCTCGTTTCGTGGTTTAAGCATGAAACGAGTACGTCTATCAACTAATTAGCATCTGAAAGAGATACATTTGAAAGTATAAGATTCTTCAGACATTGTACCTGCCATAATAATTTGAATTTAAATAGACACCTCGAGTACTATGCAAATTAATTGGCAGTGATATACAGTAAATGCTCTCATATTAATGGTTTATTTATAGGGGGTAAGAGAGACGAAACATTAATATTACCGGCCAATGATTCCATTAGTGCCACGTTAGATACCGATCAGGTAAATATTCAAATGTGTTCGGCTGCATTGTAAACGATTGTAAACGCTGTTTAAAGCTGCTTTAAATTTTAGCTATGTGCAAAAACCACTGTGATGATCAGTCCAAATTTCAAAGAAGACCGCATCTGGTTAAATGGAAAGTAAGTTCTAATAATTTATGTATCTTGAAGATAAATTACGCTCGAATAATTATGATTTTTCAGCGAAGAAAACATTGGAAGTCGTAGACTGCAAAATTGTTTAGCCGAAAGTACGTAATTATATGCAGGTGTACTAAATTTGTTAAAAGTTTCACGAATCATGTAGTGTACCATTTTAGTTAAAAAACGAGCAGGACATTCCGATCGCGCAGGGCAATGGAAAATTCATATTTGCTCCGAGAACAATTTTCCAACAGCTGCTGGCTTGGCTTCTAGTGCAGCGGGGTATGCTTGTCTTGTAGCAGCTCTTGCCAAGCTATACAAAGTAGAGGTATGTTTGACAGAATTTTATATTACATCATACATAAGAACAAATAAACTTTTGTTACCTCTAAGTATTATATTTTAGGGTGATATTAGTTCGATTGCACGTGTTGGCTCTGGATCAGCATGTCGTAGCGTTATGGGAGGTTTTGTAAGATGGCATATGGGCACTGAACCCGATGGGATTGATAGTATAGCTAAACAAATTGTTCCTGCTTCTTATTGGTCAGAGATGAGAATACTAATATTAGTCGTATGTATTGTTTCTAATTTGTATTACAAATTCGTTATCTTAAAGTATATATACTTACAACCATCAATCTTTTTGTAGGTGAATGACTGTAAGAAAAAAGTTTCTAGTGCGATTGGTATGAAAAGAAGTATGCAAACATCCGAACTACTGAGACATAGAGTAAAACATATTGTCCCTGAAGTAGCTAATAAAATGCAGGAGGCAATAATTAAAAAGGATTTTAAAACATTTGCCGAATTAACGATGAAGGATTCTAATCAAATGCACGCTGTCACCTTGGACACATATCCACCGTGTACCTACATGAATGACATTTCTCATGCTGTTGTTGATCTTATTCATTCTTATAACGATGCTGTTAACAATACAAAGGTATCGAATACAATAATGTTTTCTATTCTAAGGTTTCAAAATTTATGTAGGTTAGGATTTTAACCTAACAAAAGTTATCTTTTTAGGTCGCATATACATATGACGCAGGGCCAAATGCAACTTTGTATCTTCTAGAAAAAAGTGTATCAGAAGTTATGGGTGTAATAGATCATTTTTTCCCGCCGTCGCAAGATACTTTGGTAGAGTACAGAAAAGGATTACCTATTGAAACGATTAAACCTTCACAAGTAAATATTGTTTTTTTTCGATAAAGTTGCATTTCATATAGCATGAATTAAAACATGTAACTATTTTCTAACGTTTTTTAGAACCTGTTGAGTAAGATGAACGTGCAAAGACATGCTCCAGGGTGTTTTAAATATATGATTTATACTAAAGTTGGCGATGGTCCAAAGTATCTAACAGATCCCGCGGATCATCTTTTAGATAATCAGGGACGGCCAATTAAATGTGCCTAATAATTTCATATTATTAAAAATGATTATTTTATATAATTTATGTACAAAAGGAATATTGGTACTTTTATTTATTATATAGTGGAAAATAAATAGTTATCTGTGTTATCGTTTCTTCGCATCTTTCCCCGTTATTATGTCATAACCTCAATTCCTGACATTGATTGCCAATATTTTCATGTAAAATTGAAATGTTAATCGTTCACTTGAGGTAATAATCGATTCTATTGAATGTAGTATTACGAAATGCTATGATTTCTCTTTTTGTCCTTGATGATATGTATATACTTGTATAAGATAAGCAAAAATTCTTATTTAGATAACCTCTAATAGATACATTACCGGTTATTTAAAATTATAATGTAAATTGTGTACACATATAATCATATTATATCTCATGTTAAACGAAGAAATACATATTTGAATAATTATAAACATAAAAAACAGAAAAATAAATTATTGAATTTTATTTCTTTTCCGCATTATATGAATCAATTTGAATAAACCTTTGACCTTCACTGTAGCAAATCTATTAAGATCCTTATTTATTATTTCTATGTTCTAATTTCTTCTAATTAACGAGTTGGTATTCAAAGTTTCCTAGTATGAGTCAAGGGCGTCAAGGTTTATAAAAAGTTACGTCAGTTGCCTCTAGTTTGGTTCGGTTATTTTAGCTATCGTCAACCATGAGTGAGCGAAACGATTAGTTCAAAATATTTTGATTAGCAATACTTCTATCTAAACAAAGTGAGTCAATTTGAAATATAAAAGCTACACAATCGAAAGTAAAACATTTAATCAATATATATTATATAGGTATTTATATAGACGAAATCATGACACGAGGAGTTGAATTTATTAAATCAGTTTTAACTACTGTTCTTAGTTCACCAAATTTCGGACAAGTTTTAAAAAATGTAAGTACGCGATATATTTCATTTTTTAAATCCAATTTTACGTTGAAATAGATCTAACCTTCAACAGACAGTTTATTATATTATTTAAATAAAATTCACCGTTATTGTCAGATTAATTACATTCATTTTTCATTTCTCTTTAAACAGCTCGAAATAGTTTCAGCAGGAAGTGGAAATTGTAAAGCACAACTTCGTGTTGCTCAAGAACACCTGAACATGGGTGGTACTATGCATGGTGGTTTTACAACTACCCTCATAGATTGTGTTTCTACCTATGCTACAATGACGAATCCGAATGGTGTGCCAGGAGTTTCAGTGGACTTAATGATTTCGTATGAATCCTTTACCATAGGACTTCCCGATCACTGATATATCTATCAATATACTCAAGTAACGAATCAGTAGTATTATAGACTTTTCTAAGAATTTATAAGAAAATCTAGACAAAATGTCATAAGTCAGTACAATACATATTTTTATTGATTCATATGGTCAAATATAATTGTCCATTTCATCCATTCGTTGTTAAAGGTTGGGAAGCCCTATCCAATTGTATACTCTTTAATGTTTCTTTAATTATATACTTTTATATATGATAATAATTCATATATAGATTTATGAAGCCTGCCTTACCTGGCGAATTGGTGACAATCGATGCCAGAACTGTGAGAATTGGGAAAACATTAGTTTTCCTTTCAGTGGATGTCACGAAGAACGATGGAAAAGACATGATCGCTCATGGGAGACACACAAAATTTATTGCGAAATGAAACACTGTATACTGTTACCAATAAGTGTACAGAGTGCCATAGTTATAATAATGGATTATAGTACTTCTATTATGTATATAAGTATTTAATGAATACAATTTCTTAATTAAAAACTTGTATCATGCTCTTTTGTACATAATATGAACTGAACACATTTTGACTAAAACATTTCTTTGCTATTAAAAATATATATTATAAATGATTATAATACATTCTATAATGTTTAATGGCACAGGATTACGAAAAATGCAATTGCTGATGATGTAGCATTGACTGATGTTAAAATTGTCGTAATTAAGTAATGCGCGTATTAGTCAACTTTTTTGGCCTGATTAAAGGCGATATTAACAAATTAAAGCTATACCTAAATACTTTGCATCGCTATCTAAAGAAAATGCGATACCATTGTTGCATAGAAAAAGATTAAAAAATTGCTAGAAGTAAAAAGACCTACTTTCTCATTTCCGTGTTTCTACAATACCGAATGGCAAGCTACGAGTTACAATAGAATCGACTATATAAATAATCTCATCTTGAAATGTGTCTATATTATGTCACAAAAGCAATATGCAATTCTTTGTAGTCCAAAAGTGATTCGTCTAATCGTCCGAGTATGTAATGGTTCAACCATAAAAGTAGCGACAATTAAATAGTTTGCTAGTACAAATAGTGTTTTTTGTTTTAGAGCTTCTTCAGTATCGGATACGGGACTAGAGATGCGATATTTAAACGACGAATGGAGCCGACCCAGCCAGAGGACAACAAAGAATCGATCTTCGCGCTCTATCGTGCAGCTTCTACGGCTCACGAGTGTATGTACAATACTAACTGTGCAAAGTAAATCTGTGAAACAGAAGCAAGCCTAAGCGAACAGAAGAGAAGAACACTGAAACATCTACTTCAGTTTTTTCACGTCCTCTAACAACGATCTCAATTCTCTCATTCTACCAGATAAAGACTCGACTATCTCTCTGACCCTTCCAGACTCGTGCTCGTACTCCTCGATCGTTCTTTCCAAATACTCGATCCTCTCGTCGCTGTTTCGCGCGAGCAGATCGTTCGCTAGGTTATTCTGCGGCATGTATTTAGCCGCGCTGCGTCTGAAACGCGAGATCGTGTTACTGTTGTCCTCGCACCCGTCGCAGCAATCAGACCAGAGCCTCAGGTCCATGTGGGGTATCTCTTCGCAATTAACATATCTGTTATCACCTTCCGGTAGAAGGAACACGTTCGGCTGTATTCGTTTGATATTATCCCCATTGTCGCAGAGAACGCGAGCCAAGCTTGTCTGCTTGATCTGCGCGAGTTGCTCCGGTTTAAACACCGTTGGACTCTCGTACCAGAACCTGTCGCCGTTCCTGGTGCGCTTGAACTGCTCCAGCAGTAAACACTTGAACAGAGGTCCCACTTTGGCGTTCGGTAGCTGATCCTCCAGAACGCCGCCTACCCAAACGTCCATGTTCCCGGGGTGACCGTACAGCTCCCTCAGCTTCTGTCTAACCTTGGCGCTGCGTATGTCGTTAGCCAGGTCCTCGAAGGTCTCGACGCGCGACATGTTGCAGAATCGCCGCCATTCTAGGTACCCAGGCAGAGCGTGATCTCTTCCACGTTGGATGTTCATCGCAGCCAGGTCTAACGCGACTGCGTGAGCGGTGCGGAACAGCTGCTCCGTCAGCTCGGAGTTGAGGTTCTCCTCGGGCAATTTCAGCTTTGCAGCGGTGGCGAACATCCCTCTTATCAAGGGATCCACGCCACCTTCTTCGACGACCCTCCACGGCGAGAAGAAGGCGTCCCTGAGAAGAAGAGGACCTTGAGGAATCGACTGGAAGAACTCGTTGAGGCGCTCTAGTCGCGGTTGGATCAACGTGTGCCCGAATCTTAGAGCTGCGGTGGCGAAGACGTTCGACACGCTTGCGTCCAAGTTGGGGTCGTAGCCGCGATACGAACCCAGGAGCTCGTCGGTCGGACCATCGAAGACGCGGGGCATCCAGTGCTGATAGGTGATGTGTTGCATCTCCGCGCCAACGATCTTCCTGGCTTCCTGGTAGAGCTTCTCCCCGTTCCAGTGCGGGTTCATCTCGCGGAGTTGGCGAGCTACGCGGTTATGCTCCCTCAGCCAGATCGTGTGCATCGCGAGCAGACCTACCTGTTCGTTGGCTCGGATGTCCCCAGCCACGAAGCAGTTGATGGAGCTTTCGAGAGGGTCTCTTCTACAGTCAACGAATTGGCCAGAGGCATACGGTAGCAGAGGTTTGTGTCCCGGGATGGTGGGACCCTCTCGCAGCAGGCCATGGTCAGTGGTGAGGTCGCGCAGGTCTCTGGCCAAGTCGTCGTCGTACCCGTACACCTGAGACGCGTCTAGGTAGCTGGTGAGCTGGTTCAGCTGCTCTCGAGGAGTGAAGCTGCCCCATAACACGCTCGTCATCCCAGAACCGCAGACTGCGCTGGTTCTGATAAAATCGATGCACCTTCTGTTGGCTATTCGAGGATCCCCTGGTGGAACCTCCATGGGGAAGCACGGTGCTGCGTTGTCGCAGGACTTCTTGCAGTCTATGCCATCCCAAGACTCGCTGGACACCGACGGCAGAGAGTGATCCAGGTCGTGGTCCAAGAACTGTCCCCATTGCATAACCATGTGGGTGATCCTCTCGTCAGAGGTCACGTTATGCGTGGTCACCAGGGTCGTGGAGACGAGTCGCGCTGCCGGCTTTGGATACCCGTAATAACGACGCCCCTTTTCCCAGCCTACAGGCGAGGAGAACCCGTTCTCGTAAATCGGTTGCAGGACCCTGTGGAATCCCGTGTAGGACGAGCCCCAGGTGGGATGACGCAGGTTGTTGCACGAACCGTCTATGCTACGGTACTTGCTGTGAAAACACATGTTCGTGCAGTTCTGCTGATGTCTATGCCCGGTGCAACCGGACAGTCTCTCGATCTCCTTGACCTAAGACAAATGGTGTGTTAGTACTTTAAGACGTAACAGGTGATTGTAATACTCTGGGTAACTCCAAAACCCAGTCGATTAACACGTTGGTGGCGTCATACAGAAGTGGGTAACAGGACTTTTCTGCTAACATTTTGTCTCGTTTAGTTTTTAAGTAGAAGCGACGCTGTGACCAGCGTGTTAATTAACGTCCTTAAGGAACTAAAAGAATTCATTCGAGAGGTGCGAACGTACCTGTTCTGGGGTCAGAACCTCCTCGTATCGGAACTCGTCGGTGGTGTTGGTCGCGATGCCAGCGTTCACCATGCGTCTTATGTTAACCAGGGTCCTTTCAAATATTTCCGCAGGTCTGGCAGCCGCGCGTCCGATCGCGTCCGGGAAACGCGCGCGCCTGAACGGATTCACTCGCTGCGCGGATCTGTCGCCGCTGAAGAGAGTCATTAACGTGTTATTGATGGCGCGATCGATCTCCTCCTTGGCATCTTTGAAGGCCCTTATCACCAGGACGTTCGTCGCCTCGGGTTGGCGAATACGGACCAAAGCTTGGGCCGTTGTGCGGCCGTATTCGTTCACGGCTGAGCACTCGTATCTGCGGAGAAGATTTGTGTTTAATGATGAAAAGGGCGCGAGCCACCGGTGGTACACGCCGCGCCGGCGCGAACGTGTCGAACGAGTACATGACCAAAAAGTTCACCTGCCAGTGTCCGCAGAGGTAACATTGTACAAATACAAGCTGCCCCCTCGCGATATCTTCACCCTGTTGCCTTCGACCGCTGTTCCATCCTTCTTCCATTGAATAACAGGTTTCGGGACACCCTCGACCCTGCAGGGCACCTCGATGATGGCGCCCGGCTCTGCCTCCATGTCCCGTGGCTCGTAGGTCAACCTGGGCGGGCCGTAGGAGGTGTCGATCACCTTGAGATCGGCGCTGGTCTCCGCGTACCCATTGGAATTCCGAGCCCTGCAGACGTATCTGGCCGCGTCGGACTCCTTCACGGCGAGGATACGGAGCACGTTGCCGCGATCCTCGACGGAGAATCGACCGGTCAAGCTCAGGGGCTCGTTGTCCCGCCACCATTCTATTCTCGGCGCAGGACGAGCTTCCGCTTGGCAGGAGAAGCTCACGTCGGAGCCGACCCGCACCGTTTGGGACTCGGGCAACTGAGTGAACCTCAACGAAGAGAACATTGTGATCACCGCTCTGGCTTTTCGAGATTGGGTGGTTCCCATCTCGCTCTTGGCCAGGCACTCGTACTCGCCAGTGTCTTGCTCGGTGGCGTCCGATATGATCAACGTCCCGTCCTCCTGGATCACGTAGCGGCTACCATCCGGTGACACCTCGTTCGAATCGCGCATCCACTTGATCTCCGGGGTCGGGTCACCTGCGACCTCGCAGGTGAAGCTGATAGTCCCGCCCAGTCTGACTTCTACGTCCTGCGGACCGTTCATGATCTGCGGTTTAGCTGCAGGAAGAGGATACCGTGAACATAAGAGTCATTCCTGTATTCGACGTACTTTGGAACGATTAGAAATTTTATGATCGTGTACGCGGGATGAGAGAAGTTTTTACATTGTTTGTTAGACATATAAGAAGTCGGAAAGTAAGTCGGGTATAGAATTACGTCCCGTCACTTTGTCTACGTCAGTGTCTGTAATAATCCGATCCTTCCAGTAAAAAGTTTCCAACTGTAAAAACCGTCTGTAACTCCAATATTCGTCTATGTCGTAAAACAAACTTTCGACGATGTCATTAAGGCCAATGTGCCTCGCGGGAGTCGTAAACGTTCGGAACAAGCTGGCCGAAAATGTCTCCGTTCGCCATGCCACAGCTCCAGCATGACGCTGGCAGCAGAGTTAGATCACGCTAGATAAGGTTTTAGCGATTATTAGTGGCAAACCAAGTACGCGTAGAATATTGAAAAATATTTAATAAGAATATTCTTTTTATGTTGACTCGTTTTCAAATTTAGCCATTTTTAATTTGGCGAAATTTTAATACATTTTTTATGTACACGTCGGCCATATTGAATCCGCCATTTTTAATTTGGCGGAATTT